TCCCATTTTGATCTGTTTTTGCATCATAGACACTCTTGGAGAAGAGATGAATCCTGATGCTAATCAGTTGAATCACAATTCAAAAAAAACCACAAAAGAAGCAGAGATGGGAAAGATGAATTCCTTAGCAAAGAGGAATGCTTGAGGTAAAGGCGGGAAATCCTCTCCAGTCCTTCAAAACCGATGCTGATATCCCACTGAAATCCTCATGCACATCATGAGATCTTCTAGGCACTTAAACACCTGCAGGCACCTAATTTCACTGCAAATTCACTAAAATCTGCTTAAACTCACACACGTCACAGCATGCCCAACTGTAGAAAACTCTGCCTGTCTGTGTGTCCTGCCTCTCCCAAAGACAAGAGCCCCCCCTGTTTGAACTAACATTCTGTTTTGGAGTCTGGATTTATTCAGTGCTCCCTCGTGGCAGGGTGGCCTGTGCCTTAGCCAGTTAAACTGACTGCATGTTAACTCAGCTGAATCTATTGCTTAAGTAACTTATCTGTTGTCATGGATTTAACTGCTAACACATTTCATATTCCCTGAGGGTAGCCAAAATAGTAGAGCCTCTAAAATAGTTGAAAAGGAAAATCTCTGTATTACCTCGACCCTGAAATTCAGTCTTTGACTGACAGTATTATATACTATTTGAAGGCAATTTCTGAGCAGATAAATATTACAAAAGGGCATGTTTCTTCCCCAGCAGTGCCATAGTGCCACTCTCTCCCATTATCACAAATTGTCCCAGTTTTTGCCCAGCAAGTTGTAAAGACCAGACAATGACAACTTGGTAAAAATAAAGCCTTCATTGTGCTCAAACACCTGATGAATAAATTTTATAGCAAGCACTGTTCTATACCTGGCAAGGTATATTCGTCTCTCCTCACTACCTTATGAATTAAACAGAACATTAATAAACCAGACTGTCTCCCTCCCCTTGTAAATACTTGCAAGAGTAGTCACTGATTACTGAGTATCAGAGCACAAACCCACCTAAGAGTATTAAATGATACATAATAAAAACAGAAGAGCACACAATTTCACCTTCATTACAGATTTTGTTTAGCCCAGCCTGGATTTTCAGTATATTCTGCTCATACTAGTTTCTTCTTTCTGTTGTTCCTAAATACTAATTTCTTGTTGATGTATTTGATTTTCATTAATTTCCAAGTGTAGGTACATCTTGCCTGAAGAAATAACAGTGGCAGTATTTGACATGTGAATTTGTTTACCCTAGTGAAAATGAACAAGGAACACAGAGCTGATAATCAGAGAGATAATATAAGCAGACATAAGTGAGAATTTATATCTAATATGTACTTCAGTGATCTGGTGACAGACTGCTGAGACTGAATACATTAACTCCTAATATGGTCAATTAAGACAGGTAGGTCATCTGGCAAAAGACACTGAGAGGAACAAATCCAAAGAGACAAGATTGTTGAGGTCTGGAGAACTGGCTTTCCATCTGTTAGCTGGAAATGTAGCCTGTCCTCTCTGTTACCACATTTCTGCAATATCTAATAGACAGCTTGTCTCCATTAACTACAATGCCAGTCTACTGTAGTTGAATGAACAGGAATGAGGAGGTATGCAAAAACAGGAAAACAACCTCAGGAATTTTCCTCCTGCTTACATATGCATTAGTATTTTCTTACTAATAAGGAAACTAAGTGAAAAGAGAAATCAGATCTTTCATGTGGAGTGAAATCAAATGGCCCAGCCTCAGCTGACATAAGTTACACATCCAGCTGCAGCACCTACATATTACACAACAGGGTTCATACAAGCAAGAAAGTACTTGGACATGTCTATGCTATCTATGTCATCTCTAAAAGAGCTTGAAGAGCAAGAGAAGCAGTGGTGGCCAGGAAGATCTGTACACACACCTATCACATTTTTGAAGTCTGAAAAGAGTGTGTAGAGAAAATAAAAGGGGGGG